GATATTTATATATTGATGTAAATGACATTGGTTTTTATTTGGACCATGTTTTTCCTATCCTTGATTCTACGAGGTCGGGCATTATCTAGATGACAGATGGGATATAATGCCGCCCAGTTTCTAGATGTTTAGTGTTTTCTAGGTCGACACAGTATTTTTCCGGTACATAATTCTAACGCTGGTTTCAATAACCTGTTGGTTGTCTCCTATCCAGTTTTTCTTATTCTTTGTCTCCTCCTTTATATTTATTATAGCTAGGCCCTATTACGATTCTATATCAACTGTTCGCATGTCTTCTTTTATACTTCTTAGTCACATCTACTTACACATATTGTTCACTAAAGTTATTTTTAAAGTAGCCTTTGAGATCATCATCCTACAAGTTTTACCATTTAAATGCAAAACATTATCGATTTGATGTACTGATGTATTGCATGTTAGTTGATGTACTATGTATTGATGTACTGATGTACTTGATCGTATTGATGTTCACTGATGTACTGATGTATTGATGTAATTGATGTATCAAATGTTATCGCATGCAACAGTTGATGTAGTCCATTGCTGCAGCCGTTTCCTCACCTGCCGTGGTGGAGGTCAGTGAACCGAATCTATCCAGTCCTATCGGGTCGGTTGGTCGCTACGGGTCGTTGGTCCTACTCGGTGTCGATTGGTCCTACGGGTCGCTTTGGTCTCGCTCACGCGTGTTGGTCCTACGGTTATTAGTAAGAGGGGCGGTAGAGTGAATCAACAATTTTTTTTTAAATCACATATTTTGCGCACAATTCAATTTTTGTTTCTATTTTATTTATTTATTTTTCTTATTTAAATTTTAATTGTATCTTGTTTAAATTGTCTATTAAATTTTTTTATGTATGTCGGCTTTTCACCTATGATTCGAGGTATGCACGCGACAGCGTGTGGAGGAGGGAAGACATGAAATAGTTCTTAAACTATTTCAGTGTCATTCCAACCTCTGAGCACTCTATCACAAAATTTCATTTCACGAGCCAACGACAATATTTCTCTTATGTTTTTGGTCTAGTTTCATTCACACTCAAAACTAATTTCATTCCCCCTCTGGCTCTGAACGATACACGCAGTTTAAGAAGTGCTGTGGTACACCTATAAAAAACAGGCAGTCCAGCTGCCTGTGTAAATACACTGTGTATATTTTGACCAGTACTAATTTTTTTATGGTTAGTATTCCATTTCATTATAAGTTTAATGTGGCATCCCGTATTAATTTGTGCACCGTACGGACACATTGGTCGCTGGTAATTTAAATTAAAAAAACATGGAAATTAAAAAAAATCATTAAAAATCTTAATTCTTAACAAAATTAATCAAATTAACTTTAACTTTTTTAAAATTAAAATTGAATTTAAAAGCACAATAAATTGAAACAATTAAATATGAAAAAATAATTAAATTTTAAATTTAAACATTAAATTAACAACACATTAAAGAAAACGTGGTGCCTGCGTGCACCGTAGGACCAAGCGACGCCGTAGAGCCCCAACGAGCCCGTAGGACGCAGCGACCCGTACGACGCAACGACGGTAGACCAACGACCGCGGTAGGACTAAAGAACTGTAATCGTGTAAATATGCAAGGCTAGCAGTTCAAGAAATGTAATGCTTTTTTTAATCCACTTCCGTGGTGCTAACTGACTTTTGGCATGGTTGGCGTGGTATGGTCTTTATAGCATAATCAAGTAACGACTACAACACTGTAACAGTACTCTTTAACCTGCTGTAACATGTGTTATACCTGTAGCTCTTTAGTTTTGCCTCCACAGTTTAGCCTTGGACTCTGTTGAAATTGCCTCTGAAATTGCCAGTCAGAATGCTTACACTGACGTGTGGCTCATACACACAGGCGTTATCATTATTGTTCCATTCAATGGCCTGTCTTCATAACAGTGTTAAACATCGGTTAACTTGTAATATAGTATGAAATTAGAATTGGCCCAGACATTTATATAATTGTTAACCTAGGTGTAAGGTTGTTTTCTGCAGGGTTACGATGCTACGTATCTACATCCCAGGGAAAGCTGCCTACTGATTTCTGTTATTGGCATCCCAAGCATCTCCAATGTTCACTTGGCTAGAGGCTCTAGTGTTAGATGTTGTATGATTTTTCCATAGGTGATGTATCTTCATCCTTTTTATGCTTGATTTTTTTAGGATGTTTAAAGGCGACTTATCAACAAATTCAGAGGTATTGTTTCGAGTTGCACTTCCTGCTTAGGTCAAATTAGTCAGCTTCTCTCGGTACTGTTATGTGATATTGATTCAGTCGCATTTGCTTGTAATATATTTCAATTGTACAGGATCACATTACTTCGACTCATAATAGTAATATTCCATATTAGCTCCATCTCGACATAGTCATCAGCTGTAGAATCGCATGATCGTCCGTCACGTGCGTCTCGTCCCGTGCGCTCGTCCGTCCAACCAGTTGGCACAAATCTTAACCGCTCGACGTACGGTCACGATATTCGGGACGTGGGGGTAATCCGAAAACGAGTTGGGATGGTCGAAGCTGGGGGTCAAAAGGTCAAAAGGTCAAGAGGTGCTAAAAGAAGGGGAACATTCACTCCTTAATCTTAAGGTATACGGGACGGAAATGCAGATTGCGGCACAAATGCTAAAGCGGCTCGAACCTAGGCTGTCGATAGTCGGTGTATAGCATCATGGTAGGAAAAATGCATCACTGTGCGAAAATGGAGGTCACAGGTCAAGAGTCAATGGCACCAGGGCAGTGTTTTAGACATTTTCTGAGTGACATGGTGTGACGGAGCGATTGGAACAACTTTTTGTTTCAGCGGTGAAACTAGCATTTTTATGGCTTTATTGAAAGACCATGAATGTGCTTTCACTGACGTGCGAAGAGTAAGTGTCTGATAAGCTTTTGACGCCTCAAGAGGAGGGATTTAAACAGGATTTGTTAACTGTACTGTGTTAGAAAGAATTAGACTGGGGCCTGGGTTTGCTAGTAGAATCTACTACATGCCTGGCTGTATAGGCTAGCAGATGTCAGGCAGTGAAATTTCAAAAGTAAATTTGCTTGAAGAAGGTTTCTGGCTCCTTAAATCGTCGAACTTTCTGATGGCATTCTGATAACTGTCAGTGTGTTAATATGGCCAGCTGCCAGTGGGCCACGCAGTGGCAGTGTGGTGGTGATAGTCATGGTGTAGTTTTTGCGCTCCCTTAATTAGGTACAGCGGTGGCAGCTCCTCTATTTCCGCCTGTACGGCTTGTGTAGGTAAATGGACGCCGTGCTGTACCTATTCTGTCTTGGCAAATAGTTGTTACTAATTACTTACGTGTATGTTACGTACGATTCCAGCTACCAACAGTACGCGCCATCTCCGCGGCAACTTTCATAACGATCCCAACGAACATTTCTTCGAGACAGGTCCTGATACATCCCAGGTTGGAAATCGTACAAGTGAGAGAGAGACCTTCAGTCACGATCGGTCTAGTCTAGTACGAGATTTCACGGTGTTGTTAGTCTAGAAAGTGTCCCCTCTGGTGACATATCCCCAGAGTCAAACCTCACATCACAATCGGTCTAGTAGAGTAGATCTTAGTCTAGTCTAGTACGAGATTTCGCGGTGTTGTTAGTCTAGGAAGTGTCCCCTCTGGTGACATGTCCCCAGAGTCAAACCTCACATCACAATCGGTCTAGTCGAGTAGATCTTAGTCTAGTCTAGTACGAGATTTCGTGGTGTTGTTAGTCTAGGAAATGTCCCGACTTGTGACATGTCCCCACAGTACAAGCATTTACAGTCCAACATATATTATATATAGATGTCGCACTTAAAGAAAATTCCAAAACTCCTATTTATAGACAGGTGTCTGTTTTAAAGAGGTGGATTGGCTATATAGCTGTCACTCAAGAGCATGCACATGCGTTATTGTTAATATCTTTAATTTTAAACCTCAGACTGCGGACTACCTCATTTTGCTGCGGACTCCCTCTTTTTGAGGGTAGGGAGTCCGTTGGACTCCCTTGTTCAAAAGTTAATTTCTACCCATGGGTATTCTACATTAACAGTGAGCTTCCAAACTGCACGAGGGATTATGCTAAATACCTGTCTTTCCTCCACTGTGCCAAACTTACGACACATGTCGTCAAGAAATGCCTCGCGGATGTTATCGTTAAGGTTCGCAAAAGTGAGTTCCCTTGGAGGTGGTGGCCCTACATAGTTGGCATCAATCTGCATAAAATAAGAATTCAATTTTAGACGTCTTCCTATACAATTGCAATAATATACTATAGTGAAAGAGGGTTAGTATGTCTTGACGGTCGATCTGCCTTTTCCAAGCAACACATGTATTTTGAATGTAAATAGAGTCAGGCCTGTTCAAAGATCACTCAAGTGAAGCCCCAAGTGTATATTACTTACTGGTGATCAATCATTTCATAGATCAGGGTGCAAAATTAGGCAGTTTTCCATTCAGATGTGATTGCTACTACAGCTTTCACTGTCCTGCAGGATTTGACAACCTAATTTAGGTGTGACATACAAGGATTTACGTTATCAGCTTACGTTATCCATCACAACTTTTGAGTGCGCAGGACAAACGTTACCTTCATCTTTGGTACGGGAAGATCCGCTGGCTCTGTGTCCTTCCAGAGTCTGGTGAGCCTCGAGCGTGGATCTCTCACATCAACCAGTGGCTGGTTCACCTTCTGTTAATGTATAACAGTATATGTTAACCATACTACACTCACAGCTATTCCTGAAGCAATAACCATTTGCCGACATTCAGTCATACAAGAGGAGGCACTGACATGATCACGCTGTGCATTCTTACCCCCGGTATGATCCCATCATAGCGGATGACCTTTTGTTTGCCACGTCCAAGGAGAGGATCAGCAATCAGCTTGAAGCTCTTGTATTTGTGTTCTTCCTGTGAGGGTGGGTGGCGATGCCCGCTGTTGCCCATGCCTCCTCGAGACATCACCCCATTCATACTCACCACTGAAAGAGAGAACAATGATTAACTCTGTCTCCATCTAACTTCATAGGCTGGTTAGTGGCTATGTACTGCATCTCGATTTTCATTTAAATCAGTTTAAGTTAAATATAAAATGCAGAAACGGTCTCAGTTTATACAAGCATCAACCAGAAAACTACAAGTTGCTCCAAACACGTCGGATTTCAGCGATATGTGCATTTGTACGTCTCTAACATTATGACTTGGTAGTGTGTGATGACACCTTGTAGTTGTACACCTGTAAATACGAACCACGGCACGTGTAAACATAAACAATCATGAGAGTTGTATACGTAATACTGTCTCACATTATATAGAAACTTGAATCGCGATCAACACTCAATATATCACAGTAGCGCTTCCTAAACCTACAATGCTTGGTTCACCGATACTTCATGGTCCATATACACTCATAATATATGAGAAATGTAATCTGCTTGAGCTACTAAACCCAATTTAGTGAAGAAGTTGACAAAGTTCCATTCCGCGAGTAAGTTTAGCTCTCCTGCCGTCGTCCCACAATGCACTATATGGAGATTAGGCGGTTTTCCGTATCGATATATTTATCGTTACTATTAATGTAACTTTGTAAATATAACAAATTATCTGAGGTAGTTATAATAGGAAGATTACTGTAATACAAAATATATATTAGAATATTTTTTAAATGCATTTTTATTTAGTATAGTATCTGGTATAGAATACGAGCTCTGTTTTACTCGCGTGACCTTTGACCCTCCTATCTTTATGAATGTGAAAATGCAGTTAAATCTTTATGTGAAATAATAAGGTTTTATGAACGCATCGAACCGTTTTTAGCAATACAAAGTGTAGTATTTTTATACTTAAAACTATATTGATCAGTAAAATATAAAAATGGATCTTTTATAGTATAGCTGATGCTAATCCCACCCAAGTAAAAGGTACACTAAATTTACATGTATGATGACAGTACTGCCACTGGACATTTGTATCGTGTATCTTGGTACCCTCTCTTGTATTTCACAAGGCACTCGATTCGGCCCAAGGATAGAGAACATGGGTCCCAATGAAACCAATGTGCTTGGCTAATACCCTGACCTTAACCCTAACCATAACCCTAACCTATTATATTGATATAATATTATATTTATATTGATGTAAATGACATTGGTTTTATTGGGACCCATGTTTTCTATCCTTGATTCTACGAGGTGCGGGGATTATCTAGAGAGAAGGAGATTAATGCCGCCTCCAGTTCTCTAGATGTTAGTGTTTCTAGTCACCAGTATTTTCCGTACATAATCTAACGCTGGTTTCAATAACCTGTGGTTGTCTCCTATCCAGTTTTCTATTCTTTGTCCCTCCTTATATTTATTAATAGCTAGGCCCTATTACATTTATATAAATGTTCCATGTCTTCTTTTATATTCTTAGTACATCTATTACACATATTGTCACTAAAGTTATTTTTAAAGTAGCCTTTGAGATCAATCCTACAAGTTTTACATTTAAATGCAAAACATTGATGTATTGATGTACTGATGTATCGATGTATTGATGTATTGATGTAGTAGTGTATTGATGTACTGATGTATACAAATGAGTATCAAATGCGAAACATTGATTGATAGTCATGCCTGAGGGTCACGCAGTTTCACTCACATTCCGCCGTGTGGAGGTCGTGAACGCGATCATAGTCCTTACGCGATTCGTTGGTCCTACGGGTCGTTGGTCCCATGACGGGTCGTTGTGGTCCTAGCCCGGGGTCGTTGTCCCTACGGTCGTTGGGTACTCACGGTTTTATCCTAGTAGAGCGGGTAGAGTGAATAACAATTTTTTATTAAAAATCACAATTTGTTAATTTTTGTTATTTATTTTATTTATTTATTTTTATTTAATTTGTAATTGTATTTGTTTAAATTGGTCTTTAAGATTTTTGTTAATGATGGTGCTTTTACAAACCGTATGATGAGTACACGCAGACCAGGAGGGAGAGGAAGAAAAAATAATTCCTTGAAACTGAGTGTGTCAGTCGTCCATTCACCCTTCCGGAGGACCTTAATCCAAAAATTTCCATTCACACCAAAACAATAGTCCTTATGTTTTTGTCTAGTTTCGCATTCACCTCAAAACATAGATTTCATTCGCCGCCTTAGGGTGAACGATACTTACCCCAAGTTAAAGAAAAGTGCTGTGGTACACTAACACAGGCAGTACCAGCTAGCAGTGGTAAATACACCTGTGTATATTGTGACCAGTATAGTTATGTTTATTGTTAGTATTCATTTAATTGATAAATTTTAATGTGCGCACTCAGCGGGTAATTATTTGTGCACCGTAAGGACACAATTGGTTCAGCTGGGTAATTTAAAAATTTAAGAAAAAAAATGAAATTAAAAAAGATCCATTAAAATTAATTTTAAAAAAAAATTAAGCAAAAAAGTTAAAATTAACTTTTTTAAAATTAAAATTGAATTTAAAACAAAATTAAATTTAAAAATTGAATTATGGAAGGAAAAATACATTAATTTAAATTAAAAATTAAGATTAACAAACAATTAAGAGAAAACGGTGTGCCTGCGTGCACGCGTAGACCAACGACTACGCGTAGGACCAAGACGACCGTAGCCGGAGCCAGCGACAACGCGTAGGCAACCAACGACCCTAGGACCAACGACCCCGTAGGACTAAAGAACTGTAAATCGTGTAAATATCCAGCTACAGTTAAAAGAAATGTAATGCTTTTCTTAATGCATTCCGTGGTGTCAATGCACTTTTGGCCAATGCTGTGGCGTGGTAAATGGTTAATAGCAATATAATCAGTAAACAACTATACACTGTAAACAGTATCGTTTTACCTGCTGGTAAACAATGTTGTTATACCTAGACTCTTTAGTTTTTGCCAACTAGCAGTAGCTTGGACTCCTGTTGAAATTGCCTCTGAAATTAAGCACTCAGAAATGCGTACACTGACGTGCTCCATAACCACAGCTGTGAGTCATTATTGTTCAATCTAATCAGCTGTCTTCATAACCAGTGTAGAAACATGTTAACTTGTGAAGTAGTAAGATAATTAGAATGAGCCCAATGACATAATATATGTAACCCTAGGGTAGAGGTAGCTGTTTCTGCCAAGGTCTACACATGATACGGTATCTAAATCCCAGGGAAAGCGCCACTACTCGGATTTTGTTATTGGCAGCCAGCATCCCAATGTCACTGCGGTAGAGCTCTTAGTGTTAGATGTTGTATGATTTATCCATAGGTTTGATGTATTCCCACACTACTTATGGCTTTTGATTCGTTTTTAAGGATTGTTTTAAAGGCAGCTATCAACAAATTTCAGAGGATGTTTCGAGAGACCTTCACTGCTTTAGGTAAATAGTTCGAGCTTTCTCTTGTAGCCTGTTATGTAAATATTGATTCAGTCATTGCTTGTAAATATATTTCAAATTGTAGCAGGAATCAACATACTAATCGAGTCCAATAATAGTAAATCCATAATTAGTCTCATGCTGACATAGTCAGATAGCCAGCTTGTAGAAATGCATGATCGTCCGTCCGTGTGCGTCACAGCCGCCGTAGCCGGGGTGCGTAACCGTGCCCGTCATACTAGTTGGGCACAAATCTTACCACGCAATCGACGTACGGTCACGATATCGGCGAGCGGATGGGGGGGGGTAATCGCGAAAACGAGTGTGGAGGGTGAAGTTCTTGGGGGTCAAACGGTCAAGGTCCAAGAGGTGTAAAAGAAGGGGGAAGACATTCACGTCGCTTAACTTAAAGGTGATTAGGGAGGCAAATGGCAGAAATTGCGGCACAAATCTAACGGACTCGACTAGAGCTTCCGTGATAGTACGGTGTGAATAGCCATCAAATGGTAAAGGAAAAGCGCCGATAAACACCTCGTGCCGAGAATTAGGAAGGTCAACAGGTCCAAAAGGTCAATGGCACGAGGGGCAGATTTGTAGACATTTTCTGAGGACCATGGTGTGACGGATGCTGATTCGAAAAACTTTTTTGTTTCAGCGGTGACCTAGCCATTTTTATGGCTTTATTGAAAGGACCCGATGAAATGTGCTTTCCACTGACAAGTGCGAAGCAGTAATGTCCTGATAAAGTCCATTATTTGACCCTCAAGAGGAGGGATGTTGTTATAACGATGGAATTTGTTACAACTGTTACTAGTGTTAAGATAAGAAATGTAGACTGCTGGGGTTTGCTAAGTAGAGAGTCGTATACAGTCTGGATAGTAATGAGGCTACAAAATGTCACAGGTGAAATTTCAAAGAAGCTAAATTTGGGCTTGAAGAAAGGTTTGATGCTCCTTAAATCGTATACTTTCTATGGCGATTCTGTAAACTGTCATGTGTAATATGCCACGCCGAGTGCCCTGGCCAGTGCATGTGGGTGGGGTGAGTAGTATGTGTAGTTTTTGCCTATGCCTTAATTTAGGTAGGCCAGGTGGCAGCTCTCTATTGTCAGCCTGTAGGAGCTTGTGTACGGTAAACCTGGACGAGTGCTTGACCTAGTTGCTGGTCTTGGCAAATAGATTTGTTACTATACTGACGTAGCGTAGTACGTAACGATTCCATGGCTACCAGACATTACCCGCCAGTCGATCAGTCCTGGCAACTTTTCATAAACGATCCACCGAACGGAACAGTTTCTTCGAGAAGGCTCCTGTATACGCATCCGCAGTGGTTGAAATAGAGGCTATCCGTGTATGTTCGTGACTTGTCCATTTACACGGAGGAACAAGTATGATCCTGTCCAGGTCAGCCTTGTCTGCTGACAAGCAGATTTCTAGAGCAATTTTTCATAACTAAATTTTTACCCAATCAGCTTGGCCGTCTGCTGGAACCCGAGATTATGTAACGAGGTTAAGGGAGTAAACATGGGGCTGCCGGAGTGGCCACCCCGAATGAACATAGTACTAATCAGCGTACTTATCCGTAAAAGAGGAGCGGATTTATGTGAAGCGTTAACAAGTGCTCGAGGAATAAAGAGAAAAAAAATGTGAGTTGTCCTGCGGACAAACAGGCATCAAATCAGTTTGCTGTCCGCAACAAATTGTCCTGGTTGTCCCAAGAAAAATACTCCCAAAATATCCTATTGGGTTCAATCACATAATATCTTTGGAATAGTGGTCAGAAACAAGCCCGCAAAAACACTGGATGTACGCCGAAGAGTTTTTAACAAGGAGGGCCAAAAACAGAAACTGCGCAAAAATAGTGGAGTGAACTCTAACATTTAATAGGCTTCACGCATGCCTCACTCCTCCACATCCGCTAAGCGGCCTCCTCTACGCTTGCTCTGCAATCTTTGGTCTTGGGTGCACATGGCGAGAAAAGCAGACATTTTTGTTCATTGTTCCGTGCTTTCCCAAGATAGTAATGTGTTTCCAGTGCGGATTCTAGGATTCCAAGGGGGTGAAAAACAAGTCAGGAGGTATGGGGTCCTCCCCTCAGAAAATTTTTGAAAATGTAGATCGCAAGGAGATGGTATTTGCGGGACTTTTGGAG